GAAAAGTGGGTGAAGGGGAAGGTTTCTGGGCCCAGGATGAGTCAGAAGAGTAACCACAGGGCTAGAAGGAAACTGTCCAGTGAAGTTAGCCAGGGAGAAAGGGGCTCCCAGGCTTGGAAATGAGCAAGGACATTCTTCCTGCCTCTATGGCCAACCATTGCTGTGCTTGTCATGTTCTTTGAGGGTTGTCCTCTGTCTGCTTATGGTTTTCAGATCATATGGTGTTTTCATCACCTGGCTGTGCCTAGTCAACACTTAAAATACTACATCTTGTTCCACACTGGGAATTGATTCTTTGACTTCAAAGCTGAACATGTTCATTTTAGCTAAATTCTACATTGATACACAGGTAATCTAAAGACAGAGTAGTTAAACAGCTGGGAGCTTGTGAGAAAAGCAGAGTATCAGCCTCACCCCAGACTTCCTTAATCAGAAATCTCATTTTAATAACTCCCAAAGATTCAATTGTATATAAAAATAACATGAAGTTTACAAGCAGGAATGTATTGACAAATGTTGGTCACTTGTACGTTACTTAGAAAATATTTTAAAATTTGTTGCAATTATTTTATGATTACTAATTTTAGAATGGATTTTCCTTTAAATTCAAGAACTTATCCTTGCCTTAAGCAACAGTATTGATATGATTATGAGGTTAAAGTGCCACTTCATAGTACAGTGCAGCATATGTATGAGCCACATGATTCAGGGTATCCAGGGGATTCTAATTTTGAACATCAGAATTAGTCCAGCTCCTGGCGCTGACTAAGTAGAAGGAAGAAAAGCAAAAGCTTTGGATATCTGCAGTACCAAAGTTAAGATGTGCGAAGCATTTCCCTGAAGGCTGCTTTGCTTTTGTTGATCTTCTCCCATCCAGACTGAAAAAAAAAAATGTTGCTTGTGGCTTCTTCTGTTTATAGGCAGGTTGTTGCTGAGGAACAAACCATCAGTGACCTAACTGAACTTTCTGTTCAATTAGAGAGTTTTCCTGTGTCTTTCAATCTTTAGTGAAGACTTGCCACTTGACAGCTGATGGCACATTAAAAATCTTTAGCATATTGCTAATTTTCCATTTCAACAGTGTGTGTCTCCCCAAACTAGAATGTAGAATAGTTATGTCCATAGTCTCTTGTAGAAAGATTGAATCTTGTTAGTTACATTGGCTCGTCAAATGTTCTATACTTGGAAAATTCAGAGAGGGCTGCGGTTTGCTTTTCTTCCGGGACACATGAGTTCAGTTTCTAGTTCCCACACCAGGCAATTTACCATTGCCTAAAATAGCAGGCCCAGGAATTCAACACGTTCTTCTGTCTCTGAGAGTACCTACTCATGTGGCGTATAACTATACACACATACACATTCACAAAAATAAAAATAAATTTTTTTGTTGTTGCTAAGAAGAGCTTGGAGGTGAACAATGTGAGGAGGCATCTAACCATAAGAACAGCAATTCTACAGAATGGGCTTGACAACAACAGGCTCTGCTACCAGTCCTAATGGAGCTAAATGCTGGACTGCGGTTGTAGCAGGATTTAGACAGAAAAGATCTATGTGATGCTGTACAGTATTACAGGAGCAAAGTTTGAGTCTCCTTCTGCTGGATTATTATGAGTTGCCTATGAACTATTTACTGTCCCTGAAGAAATTCCTTTCTATCCTAAACTAGTAGTCAGGGTGTGTTCTAATGAGACATAACTCTGAATACTATATCCTGATAGCATACTCTTCTACTGAGACATCCATACAAGCTATTTTGATGATTGAAATAGTTGTCAGGACTCTTCCAGTAATAAAACCAAATGACAAATTATGATTCACAATTATTGTTATATTGACTTTAATCAGAGAGTATATAAAGTTGACAATTTCACCAGTGTTCATTATTAATTTATTGAAAACTGATTTTTAGGTGCTCAACCCTTTTCAGTAACTATTTTGAGTTAGATATATCTAAATTATGTCATAATTTTAGATCTTTTAAGCCTATAATTACACAGCAGACAGGATATTGCTTATGAAGATAATCATTAACTTTGTTAGGACAAATTCTGTTTAGGAATAGGCAGAAACATTCTATAAACACATCACTAGCATAAAATCAAATACATATTTATTTCTGATTTAATAGTTATCAACAAGTATACAATTATTAGTTATTTTAACTGTCCATAATCAAGAACACTAGGATTAAACTTGACAGCCTGCTGTATCTGCCATTTGGTCATGACTTCTCTGTTTTAGGATAATATTTGCTTTCTTATATGTATTATGGCAATTCTGCAGTAAAAGACTTCACTTATTTTACACTAATAACTCCTGCTTTTCTTATTGTCCCCTGAGATGCTACTACTGAGTTACAGCCCTTTCAACACAGTATGGAAGGAAGCAGGCAAATGCCTATGTGGTAGTTTGAATGATAAGTGTCTTTTCAAGGCTGCAGTACTTGACACTTAGTCACCAGTTGCTTTACTGTTTACAAAGGTTTGGAGCTGGAGGAAGTGCTGCCCTCATGGCAGACATTCAAAGTTTAAAGCCTCACACCAGGTCTAGCTTACTCTTTTTGCTTAGTGCTTGATGTTGGAGATGTGTTCTCTCAGCTTCCTGCTACATGTTCCCACCTTGTTACCATTCCTCTTAGCCCTCCACAACTGCCAGTCCAAATAAATTCTCCCTTCTGTGAGTTCCTTAGTCGTCCTATTTGATCACAATAGGAAGGCAACTAATGCAACCTAAAGTCTCCTAAGAACTTAGAAGGCAAAAGAGTTAGAATTAAACACTGCAAAACCTAGTATTCAAGAAACTAGTGGAAGAAGGTGACTCAGAAAGGCACCAAAGGAAGAGCAAGGTGAAACCTGAGATTAAAGGATAGAAAGGGCAGTTATAAAAGCCAAGGAAAGGTCTTTCAAGTTTGCCTTTAACAAAAAAAGATGTGATCAAAATGCCTCCAGTTTCCACCTATGCCATTTCCCTCTGTTTCTAAAATGAGAACAGGTTTACTGATCACCTAACCTCAGAAAGGTGGGATGGTAGCTTTCTGTGTGAAAAAAAAAAAGATGGAAAAGGCCTCTCACATCACATATCTGTGCTAGAAATAAACTAGGGATTGTTTTCCCATCACTAGTACTGAACATCCAGTAATTCTGGAACCTACAAATGACTTCACTAAGTACCACTGTGCACATGGATTCCTCATAAATTACATCACATTTTAAAGGCATAAATTAGATGTAAGGCATTAAACATAGGTCCCAAAAACATAAAATTAAGACTTGGAAAATCTTCAGTACCTTAACAACAAATAATGAGGATTGACCAGAGGAACCATGGTGAGCAGGTTTCTCAGGAGTTGGCAGCTGTGCAGCCCAGGGTGCCATGCTTCATACATTTTATCTCATTTTCAGCTTTGCAGCAACCATTGCAACAAAGATTATATTCACCTGCTGCTGAGCTCAGTCATTTAAATAAGAAAATACATGGTAAAGAGGAAATCCAAACTTCAGACGGTTAGACCATGGAAGCAGTACCTCTTGAGTGAGTGTCAGTGTTGTGGGTCCCCACCCAGCATCAGCAAAAGGTTAAAATAGTGCAGCTCTAAAACAGCAAACTCTGTTATTTAAGAGTCATCATCCTACAATGCTCTAGTCATTTTTACTGGCTGGTAGAAGATATATTTGAAAAGGTCCATAAGATAAACTCAGGACCATAAATTTCAGTGGTACTGGCGCTAGCTTGATTTTACAGGCTCAACATTAGTTTTTTACTGACTGTTGGACTGAGTACCTTGATGATTTGGGGCACACTAAACCATTCATCAAAAATCACATAAATTTAAAAATCAACAGACTTCATAGGATAATCATTAGCTTTAAAGAAAAGCTGTTTAAATAAAATATTGTGTAAAGAACTCTGAAATAGCATAAGGTTTCAGATAATCTTGTACATAACTGAGCACAGCACTGAGTTGCAATAGGATCAACAGAAAATTTTCTTTCATTTTTTGACTTGAAAAGTGATGTTGGAATGATTCTGTCATAAGTTCCAAAGCTTGGAAGTTTTAATATTACAATAAAATACTCAGATTTCATGGAACCTCTCATTGTGAAGGTCCATTCAGGAAACCTAGGTCAACCCAAACTCTTATCTTATTCATGAGGGGAGCACATCAAGTTTACTTTACCTCTCTGAACTATTGCTTCCTAAGGAAAAGAAAAATAAATAATATAAAGTTCTGAGGGAGTATACACAATGCTTAGCAGAGAACCTGATGTGATAAATGACTATGAGAGATATTTGATTTATTTTCTGAAGAAGCAGGAGAACAGAGCAATAGTTTGCTCACAGTATATGAAAAAGCCTAAGACAGATATTTATTATGATAATACCTATTGAACACATATGGCATCAATACCTATACCATAAATGGTTTTACTAGATTTTAAATCATCCAGGATGGGAGAGATGGTCCAGTAGGGAAGAGCACTTACTGCTCTTCAAGAGAACCTGGATTCATTTTCCACACATATCAGCATGCGTGTCAGTTACAAGAACTACTTGTAACTCCAGATTCAGGGCTTCCAACACCTCTTGGCTCAGAGAGCACCTGCACTTGCATGGTGCACAAAAGCTTCATAGGAACTAACACACAAATAATATATTTTTTAAAAAGCTACATTCTTTCTTCTCACATTTTAGAAATTATATATCTAATAATTTTTCGTATGTAATGCTCTTTCAGTCAGATATCAAAGCAAGCAAGCACCTATGTGGCTGTGTGATAAATGCCTCTTGTGGGCTACAGTACATGATCACTGGCGCACCAATTGGTAATGATATTTACAGAGTTTTAGCAAGTGTAGCCTTGCCAGAGAAAGGATGACACTAAAGACTGGGGTCCTGAGGTGTATGTATACTGATTACTTTCCCTCTGAGCCTCACTGACTGATGCCTTTCTTGTAGAGCAGAGAAGAACAAAGGTTTTCTTGGATTCAGAAATAACCTACCTTGGTGGCTGTGGCAGCTCCACCAGCATGGACTCTGGATGGCTGACTGCTCCCCAAACTGGCTGCTTTTTTCTTGGAAACAGAAAATATTAATTTCAGTTCGAGAGAACACCTGAACAGTGTGCAAATGATCATACCATTAAAACACTTTATTAAACAGCAGTCAGATTAATACGCTAACCACACACAATAAATGAAAGTTTGTAATTTTACAGTGTTGCCTGAAGAATATATAAATAATACAGAGATAAGCAAGTTTCGCAAAAGTCCTCACCTGTGCAGTCACCACATTGAACCATGAAGTCCTTCCAAAAATGTCATTTCCTGTATAGAGGCTACCCCTTTTTTTATGGTTTGACAGAGTATGTATAATGAGTCACACAACATCTATGGAGGGTGATTTAGTAATAGATCTTAAGGACATAATTATACTTAGAAAATGTTGTCTTAGAGAAATAAAAGCAAGAACTTTTCTATAAAAAGGTAAACTACTATAACATCAAGAAACTGAAAACAGTATACATAGTACTTAGGTATATTGAGAACATATGATATGTCAAACACATACTGACTGCCATCAACAAACAGAAGAAAATTCTGAGATCAATATGGTAGGAACAAAGATATATGAACAAGATATTATTTATATATATCTAGAATAACCAAAAGTTACAAGTCAAGACATACACAGACAAAATAAAATACAGAGTTATTTCCCACACGGTGTTTCCAGAGTGTCTTGTGTCAAGAGTATCTTCATTGCAGTGCTGGTGACACAGATCTACACAAATAGTAACAGGGCCAGAATGATGTATACATGATGCATAAACATCAATATCCTAGTTTTGATATTGTGCTATAAATGTATCATCAATATCAACATTTAATCAATATGTATATAGTAATCAATATCTATGTAAAGAAAGTACAATTAGGAACTGTTTACAAATTGCAGAAGAAAACACTGGAGGCATGGTAACAGAAAATGTCCCAAAAGACCACAGAGAGCAAAAGAGTCAGAGGAAAGTACAAAGAGCTTGTGGGCATTAGTAGGGTGAAGTCAAGCTGCTAGTTCACATGTAACTGTAAATTTCCAAGGAAAGGTGTGAAGGCATAGAAATAAAGTACTTTAAAATGGCCAAAATATTTTCAAATTTTATGAGAAATATACTTAACAATCTAAGAATTTTAATAAATCCCAAAGAAGGGTTGGATATTATGATAATGCATTATTATGAAAATACTTCTTCCATTCTGAAACTGGAACTTTTGCTGGATCACACAACCACAGGCCACCTTGTGGTCACCTAAGACTAAAGACTGCTATCCTACTGTGTACTTTGCCTTTAAGAGGACAATGTAACAACTACCCTTACCTACCGTGGATTTCCAGATAATCAGCTTTTACAACCCAACTTAAGGCATAGCTGTAATCTTGAATTATTTACTCTTCCATGTCCTGACCCAGAGTAATACATATGGTTCAGTTGTTGAAAGCAGTAAATATAAAGGTTGAAACCAACCACCTAAAATTCACAATAAAGTTTGAACACAAAGTTATAGACATATGGACATTGGCTGATAAACCATGGTGACTGTAGTACTGTTTGCTGTCTGGGTCGGTTGGGGTCAGTCAGATCCAGTGGCTTAGCCCCTTAGGAAACTTTGTTAAGATTTCTGAGAAGTATCCTCCTCCTTCCCCCATGGGATACTGTCTGAGCTGTTCAATAAAAACAGAGCAAAGTCTTGTGCCAAGGATAAAGACACAGATATACACAGGGAAAGATACACAGACAGAACACAGACACAGATTCACAAGACACCCTTTAGGCAGGCACAGATTCAGACTCGCACAACAGAGAGATGTAAGCCATAGAGATTATGGAGAAGAAAATTCAAATCTGGACCACTCTTGGTTAAATGACTCCAGGAATCTTTATTTTATTTATTATTTTAATGAGACACTGATTCATTCTTGGTGACTTTGACTTAATCACTATTGGAGTTGATTCATGCACAGTATAAAATAAAAGAACAAGCAGGTGTTCAAGTTTATATTCCCCAGATACCCAGTGACGATGATGCCATCTGCCTTACACAAGGAAGCTTGGTGAGATTGCAGCTTATCTCCAACCCAACAATTCTCGTTTCTGTCTTCACATACAGTGAAGATGAGTGTATGAGGGCACTGGCCCACCTTTCTACTTAAGACATAAAAACGGATCCCAGAGTCCAAGGGCCAGGGTTCTGACTCTACTTTGCAATGATCTACAAGTGACTGATCCGATGCTATGAACGACAGTTTTGACTACATCAACTTTTGTGTCTGAATGACTGCTGAAGCTTTCAAAGGCTTAACTTGGAAGCTAGCATGCTCAAATAACTGCTAAAAATACGTTTGGGACTGTTTGTTGAACTACTTAAGAAACTGTAGCGCACTATCTGAATATCCTCCAAGGTAAACAAATGCTTATCTTCCTAGCGTACAGATAGTAACTGAAACTTACAAAGTTGCTCAGATTCATATCCAGGTAAACAGAGGAGCAGATAATATCAATCTTAGTGAAAACCATTGAGGGAGGAGATAGAAGTATTTTCTGATATTAAGGCAGTAGGAAATGGCTTTGAAATTATGTCAACAATGGAAATTATCAGATTATTGTTGAATTTTATTGTTCTGAAGTCACCCATTTTTTGTTTCATACCTCTAAGTATGATGATGTACCCTAAAATCAATATAAAACAATATTGGTGAGATTTTCACATTTTATTTTCTTATTTGCTTTTAACCCACACATTTTAATTAACATTTAATAACTTGATGGAACATGATTTGTAAGCTCTAACTAAAATGTGTAGGTTTTGGTATGTTTGTTAAAACAGTTCCATACTCAATAGTCAGTCCATTAAAAGGCAACATTATATGCCAGCATGAAAAGATGTCTTTTTAAAGGACAGGCAGATTCCTCAGCACTAGCAATTATAGTTTTAATTATTGTTCACAAAAATTCTTGTACAGCATGATGTTGTTTCACAGGTAAGTACAAATGGCTTTTATTATGTAAGAGTATGAATATGTGCTATTACAAATGCAAAATAGTATATGGGATATTCTGGTTGGTGAAAATATTGATAAATGTTGTAAGGAGCAGGCCTAATGAGTAACTCCTATTGCTATATAGAAATTTTAAATGAAAAATAAAATGTGCCCTGTTTCATATTTCAGTGTCATCCACTCTGGCAAGCACCTTCTGGCAGGGTTTTGTTTGGCTTGGTTTGATTTGGTTTTCTTGTTTGTTTTTAGCTCATCAAGCAGAAATCCACAAGGTTCCAGTCTCATCTTCTAGTTTAGGGCAGCTCAACTGCCAAGGACTCTGGAGAATATTATGCTCTCCAGGCTGTCCCTGTATTCTGACTCAGTGAAATGGGAAGGCTCTGCCTGCACCACAGAGGTCCATTATTCTTCTTTAAATAATAGAGTAGAAGGAAGAAAAAGAGTGAGGAGGTATAGAAATAAACTACAAAAATATGATAATAGTAATATGAAAGTCTATGGACTATGGTCTTTGTATTTTGAGTTAGAATTATTTTTTTAATTTAATTAAAAATGTTTTGATAATTTCATGCATTAGTACTATATTTACATAATTTCCTCTTTCCTTCTCCTCTTGTGTCTCCCATCTCAAATTAATGAACTCTTTTTTAGATATATATTGTGTATGTATATACACAATACTGTGATGGCTATTCTTGGTTGTCAATTTGAACACATCTGGAATTAACTAAAATACAGAAATGGAGGGCACATCTCTGTGGGAATTTTACTTAGTTTAAATTAGGGAGATCCACTTCTAACCCTGATATTTGAGGCAGGAAGACATATTCTATTAATCTGGATCTTGAGGCAGGCAGACATGCTTTTAATCTGGGCCACACCTTCTGCTGGAAGTCTATATAAGGACAGTGAAGAAGGAAGGTTTTGCTCTTTGCCTACTTGCCTTAGCACTGCTAGAAAGCCCATACTTTTACTAACATTAAGTCCTCCTTCTTCAGAATGCCAGCATCTACCTAGACCAGCTGGAACTTCAGCCTCATGGACTAAGCAATTTAAGGATTCTGGGACTTTCTGTTCACAACCAGCCATTGTTGGATTAGATGGACTTCATCCTGTAAATCATTCTAATAAATCCCCTTTATATATATATGTATTTACATATATAGATTCATTTTATAAATTGTGTTATGCTAGAGAACCCTAATTAATACATATACTTAAGTATATGCATGTACTTAAATACATTCATACATTACATATATACACACTAACATATAAACATATATTGTTACATACAATTATGCATACATACAAATATATAAGTGGCTGAATCCATTTAGTATGACTTGTATACCTGTGTAATACTGACCACTTAGTTCAGATAATCTATCAAACAGCCCATCCCTGGAGAAGAGTGATTCTCTCTTTAGTAGGTACTAACTGTCCATAGTTCATCATTTGGAGTGGGACCTTGTTAGGTTTCCCCCACATACATCGGTATATGTCTTAACCAACTGTCTTTTGCTGTATTAAAACACCAAACAACACCATGACGAGAAGCAATTTGGGAAGGAGGGGTGTATTTTAATTTACAGCTCTCCACTCATATTCTGTGACTGAGAGCAGTCAGGGCAGGAACTCAAGACTGGAACTTGGAGATGGGAACTGAAACAGAAACCCTGGAGGAACGCTGCATACCAGCTTGCTCCTCATATCTTGCTCAGCCTGCTTCCTTACACAGTCAAGACCCACCTTTCCAGGACTGGTTCCACTCATGGTATCGTGGGCCCTCCCACATCAATCACTAATCAAGAAGTCAAACAGATTTTCCTTATTAAGGAATTTATAAAACTATCAATGGAGAGTCCCCGTTCTAAATGATTGTTGCTTCTGTCAAGTTGGCATAAAACTAACCATGACAGCATGAGAGCTGGTATTGTCATTGTGCATGTCTTGTTTAGGAAATCATACTTTTGAGATCTCATGGGTGCAATCTTTGCTGTCATATACAGAATAT